TGCAAGTGGGCACCATCCAATCTACTAATAGTTTGCAGAATACAAAGAAGACAGATGAGGGAATAGATTTGCATTTTCTCTCTAACTCTCCCATTAACTAGCTTCCTATCTCTCTTTCTTCCTCTTCATTATGCACCCCCATTCTTCCCACTCTTCCTGAAGAATTGGTACATCCACCTCCTGCCTTTCAATATCAGAACTCCAAGTTCTCTGTCCTTTGACCTCAAACTGAGTTATAACATCAGCTCCTCTAGTTCTCAGGCCTTTGGACCTGAACTGAACCATATTAACCCACTTCCCTAATTCTCTAGCTTAAAAATGGACTGCTGTGAGACAATCCGGCCTCCATAATTGTGTAAACTAATTGCCACAGCAAATCCCTTCTCATATATCTGTATATATGCATACAGATGCGATCGATTCTGTTTCACCGAAGAACCCTAAATAACACTCAGATAGTAGATTTTGTAAAAATAAGACCTAGATGGGCCAAAACTGACTCGGCGAGAACTATGTACCTCTAAGAAACAAAACAAAACTAGGTGTGTGGTACAGGTCTGCAACCCCAGAACTCAGAAGGGAGAGGCAAGATCAGAGGTTCAATGTCAGCTTTGGGTACTCAGTGACAAAGTGAGTTCAAGGCCAGTCTAGGCTAGAGGGCACAAACAAACAAACACAGTTATTATTTCTTCCTACCTATTCATTTAATGGTATCACATTGGCAACTTATAATTGCCCCAATGCACATTGTCAAATACTTCTAATTAGGGCTTTTACCCTACCTGGAGACACAAGGTCTGGTTATAAGTCACTGTTCGAAAACCAGATAGCATTGCAAATATCAAAAATTCATGCCCTTATCATTACCATGAATTCCCTGGAAACAATTATGTGGATAGTTTTCAAAATCCTAAGGTCTGGTTCCAAGAAAAAAAATATATCAGTATATGTGGAGTGGGCCCAACACTGAAATTTTCAAAGCCTCAGATTATTGCAAAGTACAAGCCACACTGAGACACACTGACAAACACAGATCTTTGGATCCAGCCTCAATGTTTTTCTTAATGAGTTTGGGATTATAAAAGAGGCAGATCCTAGTCTCACTCGCAATGAAACTAAATATCCCCTCGCTTGTACAGCAGAAGACAAAGAAGGAATGTTGGGGAAATTAAGAAATCTATGTTAGAGAATTCAGAAACACAAAAGTCTAAGTGGAATAATACTATGCTACAGTCTGCATCTGCAGTATCCTTCAAAGGCCCAGGAAAGGTTTGCGCTGCAGTTTTTCATGGTGTGGAGGTGGTGTTGGGAAGAGGTGGGGCGTGGTAGGACGACAAGGCGTGCCCTGAGTGGGAGTGGGTGGCACAACCCATTGCTCTTCTTTCTCTTGCTTCCTGAGCTAAGTGGCTTTGTTATGCCATGTGCTGCCTGGCCACATGCCTGAAGTGGGACAGGTCTGTCATATATGATAACTCCCAAAATTGTGAGCCAAGACAAACCTTATCCTTTTGAATGCTGACTTCTCTTAGGTGTTTGTTAATGACAGTTAACAGTTGAAATACCTGAAATGAACCCTGGGAGGAAAGGTATGAGTTTTGTGCCAGAGTAAACTGGTAAACGGCCGGATCGCTGAGTGTTGAACTTTTGTACCACATTTCAAGGGGATAGCTTCATCAGTTTCCTAACTAGATTTATACACACTTAGTGGTGTTTTAAATGTAGAAGAAGAAAATAATACATATATTTAAAAACATTGTTTGAAAACATATAATATTTGTAAAATATGTAATCTTGGGCATACTATATGAAATTCTTTAATTATTTCTCTATCAAGCTTACTTTGCAATTTTTGCTATACACTTTTTTCCATTTCCATTGGAAATTAATAAGCTGGATGCATCCTAAAACTACAAGGCTTGTTAATTGACTCTGAACAAAAAGCTAGGGATACGTGGGAGAAAAAGAACCTTACATATTTGCGACTAGTTTCTCATAGAATAATTAAATTAGACAAAAGGAAAATGGAGTATCTGTGAATTTTCTTACGTCGATCCTTTGCTTGCGGGGGCATCACATCCTTTCACAAGGTGTCCCATCCTTTCCCTGGTGTCACAGAGCGGCAGTGGTGGGAGAAGGCGGCAGCCCACGTTGGCTGCTGTGGCTGCAGGGAAATTAGAAGCTGGAAGAGGCAGAGAGCCTGGGCTTGGGATGTCTTCCATTCACATCATTTCTAAGTCTAAAGGAAAGCTTCACAGCAGACCTCGGGGAATCCTCTGACACCTCCAGATATCTAATCCCAGGTGTCCCTGTATCAACTTTCCCAGAAAGTCATACTGAGCCACTGGCTGCTCCTTGCTTGGGAACTTCTCCTCCTGTTACGGGGAAAAAGTCTTGTCTTACCTGGAAGAGCTCACAGCCTTATCTGAAGCCTTTGGAGCTAAGGCAGACGGCCCAGCATTTGCTAAGGGATTGGTAGGGCTGACACCTCACCTGTAACCCCATCTGCTTGCATCTGGCGTGCTCGTGGGTCTTTCCTGAACCCACTCCTTTTGGAAAGGCATTTATACAAGTTTGGGGTTCTTTCTAGGGAACCCCATCTACGATAACAAACTGCCCACACTTCTAAAGTTCGCTGCACAGACCATCTTGTCTCCCAATCTCTAGAGGCCTGCACCTTCTGGACACCAAGGAACAGGTACCAATTTGCTCTCCCTGTCTCCGCCCATCCCCTCCAAGGCTGTTGAGGGAACAGATAAGGTGTGTTGAACCTGTTCACCTTCTGCACAAAATACCACTCCGCAGGGGTCAGACCAGGAGTCAGGAAGAGGACCTGACTCATCTCAGGGTGACTAGAATAAGAGAGTCAGCTCTTCTACTCACTAAGCAAAAAGTCCAGGCTGCTGGCTTGCCGGTCTGGATTCCTTGAACGAGGCATCCATAATCCTGAATGTACTGAATCTAGAAAGGCTCTGAGGTAGAGGGTGGCGGACATGTGCCCCAGTGATTTCTCCTCACTCCTAAGCCTCCTGTAACTTTTGTAGAACTGCTGCCTCTCTACCTTCGACCCAACCCAAGAGAAGCATGGCTATTGGCTGGGTCCCATCTGCTTTCTAGCTCTCAATAGACACTCAGTGGTGGGCAAGCCCCTAGTCAAGGGGGGTTGAGGAGAGCCACTCATTTTCCATACTGGTTTATTTATCCCATCTGACACCTCTGCCTTGTCTCATCCATAATCTCCATATCCCACAACACAAACTCCTAATGCTGCTGCTCTGAAACTTGAAGGAGAGTGTTTTATCTACATTTCTGTATCAACAGTTCTGGCCTACAAGAGTAGCTGTTTTCCCTTATACTGATAAATTCTCCAACGTAAAGTGAGTGTCCTATAATTCAAATCATTTCTGATACTAATTGGAGTTAAACATGTGTCCCATGCAGGTTTATGGCCCATGTCCCAATAATTGTCCCTGTCTTTGGATGACATTTGGATGAGTGACTCTGGATGTCATCCACTAGCAGTAGACTCCCAAACTACTTACAACTTGTGCTGGGAGCAGCTACCAGTTAGAGGTGCTCCTGATTCTTTCTTTACGCTGGTTTATTCACTAGAGTAGCACATGACTCAGGAAAGCACTGTATGCATCACCTGTTTGGATGTTTCCATTACCTTTGGTATGTGTGTGTATGTGTGTATGTATGTGAGTGTGTATGAGTGTGTATGTGTATTGTTTATGTGTGAATGTGTGTGTGTGTGTGTGTGTGTGTGTGTGTGTGTGTGTGTGTATGAGTGGTGTGTGTGTGTATGAATGGTCTGTGGGTGTGGGTGGGTGTGTCCCATGATTGCCCAGCCAGTTTGGGAGCATAAACTTTGTAGATGACAACAGAATCGTGTTGTGATGTCAAAAGAGTTGGACATTCCTGCCAGAATCAGTTCAACGTTCAGCCCCTGTCTGTTCTCTGGAGGTCAGAAGATGAGGCTGAGAAGTTCAGCCTTTTAGTCACATGGTTGTTCCTGGCAGCCACTCCCCATCTTCAGCTGTTTAGGAGTCATTTCATTCATAAAAGGACACACAGTAAGAATCCCAGGGTTCTAGAAGCTTTGCACAAAGGGAAGACACGAAGGCCAAATATACTTTTCATATAAATCACAATCTTAAGATTTTCTGGAGGTCTTGGACCTATAGGATTCTCCCACAGTCTTTCCTCAACTTTTATGTTAATGAAGACCTAAGATGAAGCCTTTTTAAATCTGGAGATGCAGAGAGCTAGTGACGTAAGGTGTGAGTTAGTGACAAGTGTGGACACTGTGCCTCAAGCACTGATCTATTCAGAGATTTATGGGGATTTACACACAAACACAGACAGGCAGGCAGACAGACAGACAGACAGACACACACATACACACACACACACACACACACACACACACACACACACACACGACGAGTAAATGTTACATAGTGGAGAGTAACACACATTATTTCCATTAAGTATAAAATAACAACACAATTTTATGCTAGGCCTACTGAGGACAGCCTCCCAAGACCTGTATCAAGTCATTATGAATCTATTCTATAGTCTGTTTATATAACTCTGAAATCCATATGATAAAACCTAACCTCAAAGGTAATGTCATTAGGAGGTGGATCCTTCTGGGAGTCATTCGATGAAGGCAGAGCCTGCAGCACAGCTCGAGTCCCCTCAAAAAAAGATGTCTTACGGAAGCTCATTTGCCCTCCTCATCACATGACCCTTCTCACCACATGACTCACAGTGGGGTATCTGCAGTCAGCGACCTGAAGAAAATCCCTCACTGGGCCCTGCCTGTTCTGTTACCCTGACCTCAGAAGTTTCAGCCTCTCAAATTGCAAGAACTATTGCTTGCAAGGCACGCATTTGGTTAGGGTAGCCCAATGAAACTGAGACACACCCACAACATAGCAGGCACCATGCCCCAGACCCACAATTTTAGTAGGGATCCATGAAAGTGATTTTCCATCTTAAAACGTAAAAATGGAATTTTTATTGAGAAAAGTGTTTTAATATGCAATATTAATGGATTTGTCTTTATATCAGTGCAGTCTTGCATGTGGCTCTTATATGATTGTCTTTTAGAATGTAGAAGTGGGCTATGAAGGCATAAATGCCTTCAGCATATACCAGTCATGAGGCAGTCCTGCCCCAGAGGCAGACTTTCAGTATTTGGGGGAAATGTGGGAACCTCTGATTTTCAGACATTATATTCTTTCAGTTGGTGACTTTTGAGAATGCAGTTCTTCCAAGGAAAGGAATGTTACATGCTAGAATTCCTTTCATAAAGTGTTGGATATATTTGTGAAAGGGTTCCTGCGGGCCACTCCACAGATGCCACTGTGCACAGACCTCGCCTCCAATACCACAGCAGATGCTTGCAGAGAGTGGCAGACCACCTTGCCAGGGTCTGGGGGCACTGAGTCATAAAATCTTAGAGCTTAGAGTAACTGTTGGGTTTCCTGGGCCCAACGCTTCACCAACTCAGAGTGTCTTCGTTATCACTCAGCATCAGTGTGAGCACATCCAGACACTGCATTCGGATGCTTAAAACAGTTCCCCACTGCGTTATCCTCTTTTAAAGAAGCTCTGATGGTGAGAAAATCGGAGACATAGCTTGTCATGGAGACGGCAGGTGACTCTCGGAATGAGTCTACCACTGGTGATGGTGAGTGATTCACAGACTCTGGGCAGTGCCCACCATGATCATTGTTGTCTCCTCCTCTTGAGGGGTTTGTTCCAGACCATCATCTATGACCTTGTGGAGGGCGCTGTAGTGTTCACGGTCTTGGTAGAACGAATGTAGCTCGGACGCAGCCTCCCAGGCAGCGAAAGAGGGCATGGGAAAGGGATCTGGCCTCTTGTTTTCAAAAAAGCACTTCAGGTTCCTCTCACTCAGCTTGTTGGCACATTCCAGGAGTTTGTTCTCCAACTGTTCCTTCTCCCTTTGTGCGTACGTCTTCCAGAAACTCAGCTGCAGGTAGCTGACTTTAGATTTGCAGCGTGCATAGCAAGTGGTCAGCAGAGAGAAGAAGGATGCTGAGCAAATCAGGCACCATCCTAGAATCTTAGCAAGAAAGAAATATTGAGGACGCAGAAAAGCAAGATGGCGTCTCAGAGAGCTGGGTAATATTGGGAGAGTATGTGACGACATTAATACCACAGTCATTACGACCATCTCATTTGAAATTATTCATTTTAACTGTAAATGCCTTTGACAGTCCAAATAAAGATAAAGTTGACTCAATATCCATTCCCCTACTCAACATTGTTGCTAAGCAAAGCAATAACCGGAAGGCTGGCAAATGGGAAGAGTAACTATCCAATAACTTACTATTAAGGCACTTCCAATAGTATTAGCAGAAGAAAGAATTCTTTCTAATGGATCACGGGGGTCATTTGAATGAATGAGTGGTGTGTTAGCCAGGTGTCCAGGCACTCATCAATGCATTCACAGACTCCTGACCAGATTTTCCCCTGGGACTTTGTTTGTAGAGAGCCGCGGCCACTTTATAGATCAAAAAATTTATTGTTCACAGTAAAGACAAAAAAAACCACAATACAGTAATACACAGAAACTTTAAGAATTTAAAGCCTTTCTAAATGTTGAGAGAGGGAAAAAAAAGGGGAAGAGGATCATTTCAAACTCTGAGAATTATTTGTTCTTGATTTTCTAAAATTAGAGAAAGAAATTCTTTTCTAAATATGAGTGATCCTATTGGTGTTTTAACTTTAAAAGCAAAAGTCTACAGTTAACATGTCTTCTAAGTTTGTTGCTCCAATTTAACTTTCATAATTTGAGTTAATTTACTATTTGAGCAACTAATAGATTTCTTGAAAGCATCTCTTGATTTCAGTTCAAAGGACCCTTAGCAGATGGGCCCAATTGAAAAAAAAATAATAATCTGCAATTGGTCCACTCGGATTATAGCAGAGCCAAAATTAGCTTTAACTCAGTGGTTCCCAAACTCTGACTCAGATGTAGGGTTACTAGAAGGGTCTCAGCCTATATAAGTGCCATTTCTGAGTTGGCATTCCTCAGGCTGAACACCTTTCTCCTCACCATGGGTGTTCCCTGTACCCCAGGCTCTAATATTAAGGTCACCCATCTCAGAGGACATTTGGGGAACCCAGTGAAATGATGCTGGGTAAGAAGCTCATGGGTCCCCTCTGTTACCCACCTGTTGGCGGGCGTCTCTTTCTGTTCTGTGATAACCAAGTGAGGCCCAGTCACTACCCTGTGAGAATCCCCCTGCTCTCCTTCAGCCACCAGTGAGCTGGTGGCGGACTCCCTCAGTCCTTTCTTTCCTTCAGCATCCCCTTCTTTCCTGTGACCGGGCCTCCTGTGTAGAATCTATTCCCCCTCTTCCTGAGCTCATCCTGATGAGTTAGAAACTGTTTGATCAGCTTCAGATCCTCTGTTGCTTTCCCTCCAACCTCAGCATTGAACGTTTCTCACCCGACGGCTGAGTCTTGTCTTCCTCCCAGACCCACAGCACCTAGAATTCCAACTAGAATGCGATGATTGTGCCCAGCCTAGCCCCTAATTGTGTTCTATTTGCCTCTTTCCCCAAATCCTGCCAGTTTTCTCCTCACCTTGGAATACTTACTAATGTTCTAGAAGCTTTACGCCTCTTTATGTCCATTATCTCTAAATAACTTTTCACAGTAGGTGCCACCATCCCCCACTGTGAGAAAACTGGGGTTCGGAGTTCTAGATCACAGAGCTGGGGAGTGGCAGCATCAGGATTCAAAGCCAGCTGACTCCAAGGCTGAGCTCTTTCCACTACTCCATTCCTCCATCCTTAAGAACACAGAGTCACCCAGCTGGGTTTCTTGTTGCTCTGCCGCACCCACCCATGAATGAATGCACTTTTCCACCTCCGCCCACACGCCCAATTATTGTTTTCGACTGTGTGATGCCGGCTGCCATCTGAACATCATGGTCAGCACCTGCTGTTGCTACATCTTCTTTCATCCACATCTCTTGGGTATCCTCCTGTACGTCTCAAACCCAAGTCTGTCCTTACTCTGCTGGAAAGTCAACAGATCATTGGGGCCGATCTAAGTTATAACCAGATGTGCACATTTTTCTTTGAGTTTATATTTAACGAAGGGCTTCTACAGTGATGAGTGTTTGGAGTTGGCACTGGCTGAATGGAGCCTGGTGCCTGCGGGGGGTAGTCCATGTGTCATTCACACTATCATAACATTAGTAATTAATACCTTCCTTTAACAAAAGATGGAAGGCGCTCAGGAGCCTGACATGGTCCATCTAACCAATGCTTTGTGTATCAAACAAAGGAGTTTATTTAGGGACATTCTTTGGCTTGTTAGTTTATGGAGAATATGATTTTATCATTAACCATTTTAGACTGCAGGAGTCAGCTTTGCTTTGATGTGTTTGTTGTAAGGGCAAGTCCTTGCTAAAAAAGTAAAATTACAGCGCCCATGTGCCTTCATCCAGAAACTAACAGTATTCCTGAGAAATGATGACTCTGTTCATCTACTCCTACTGCATCTTTTGGTCTCAGAAATAGGAAATGAACTTCATCTCAAGGCCAGGCCAAGGCTATGCATCAAGACCTGTGTTCATATACCCGGCACCATGACAAGTTACTTACTTGTACTGATTAGTTGAAGCTGTAAATTACTTCTCACAAGTAAAACAATGCTCCAAATTCTGAGCTTCTAAAGTATCGTGAGAACTTCTTTAGCTGTATAGCACAGAGAGTGAAAAGTCATGATCTCTCTAGGGAATATGGTCACTCTTCACTGAAGGCCATTTAAAGACCGTTCCATCCCACTTCATTTGGGAAACTCTCGATCCCGACAGCATGTATGCACACAAGTAGCAGTGGCCACAGCAGTCCCTCAAGTAAGTTTCCCTGCTAATTGCACCACATGCTGCTCTGAAAAGTAGTAGCTGTGTTTCAGTGGATGAATAAGATGTGTCTGTGTTTTTTTGAGAAACCAGCTCGAAAATAAATAATCGATAGAAGGCAGTAATGCTTAATTACCGCTCAGGGTTAGCATTCAGTGTGTGGTTTTGTGTTCTGCATTATTTACAAAGTCAACCCAGAGAGATGGTTTAGAGCACTTAAGTATTTACATATGCATAACCCAGAGGGTATTTTCTTTTTGGAAATGGAGACTACCCGATCCAATCAGCAATTTTACTGAGCCACCCTGTCCCTAAAAAGCTTTTCCTGAGCATTGTCTTAATGCCACGTCGTGTTCCAGTTTCCACTTAGCATCAACATATTCTGGCAAGACTCAAGACTCTGGCCGGGCGGAAAAGAAGACAGAGAGAAATTTCCAAGCTCACTCTGGGAGCAAAAAGTCCCATTGGTCCTTACCTGAGACTGGGCTTGCAGAGACAGCTTCACCTCTTCGTTTTCCACGGGTGTCATGCTACTTTTGCCACAGGAGACTTTGTACAGGTCTTCCTGGCACTCTCGGGGCTTGCCCTTGCAAATCAGTTCCAGGAGCTTTTCGCTTCTGGTTCCGCTCATGGCACATTCATAAAACGTCCCATTCAGCAAAGCCACGGAGAGCCACATCACTGGTGCCACCAATGAACTCAGTGTGATGTGTCCCAGGACGTAGAAGAAGCGGCAGCGGTGTCTCCTAGGGAAGATTTTCTTGGGGTTTATACAGCAGCCAGTGAAGAGTCTCCATGCCTTGTTATTCAGGAAGAATCCAAGGATCAGTAACACCCAGGCAGGGGCAAAGAGGAAAACCAGCCCATAGGTTGTATTCTCAGTGCTGCAGGGGCACTTAAACGCCACGAGCGAGAAGAGACGCTCACTTCCCACGGTCAGCAGAGCCATGAAGCTGTAGCCAATAGCGGTTTTTTGGTTAAGAAAGAATTTTAAAATGCTTTGAAAAGCATCCATGTTGGAGACCCACGAAGAGGGGAAAAACGTTTGCCTGGGTTTTAACACAGCCAACTGGGGCTGGGGCTGAGGGTGGAGCTCTTTTGAAACAACAGTCCTCCTCTGTCTGCATCCAGCCAGATAAGGAAACAATGTCATTCCCCAGGAATGCTTATTTCCCAACAACGTTCAGATAATGCCTCCTACTGGTGAATGCTGACACTCGAGGGCTGTCAAAACAGTGAAGACCAAATGCAAAGCGCATAGGTTCCTTCTAATATTCTTTCAACGTGTTTTTTTTTTTTTTTTTAACTGCAAATAGAAAATTCTCACACAAATTAGAGTATAGAAATTTTCCAGTAGGAAGCTCAGCACTAGCAGAAATGGGTTTCAGCCATGGACTGGTAGTCAAATCCAGTCTTCAAACCCAGCATTTCATGATAAGTTTCTTCTCTGGTTCTAAGCCCTAAGATTTGGTAGACAGGAATCCCGCCTTCCTAAAAGGGCTCACATTAAAGACTTGAAACAGGGTTTAGGATTGGGATTATTGGAACTTATGAGGGAAGCCTAGTAACTGAGCTTTCAGAGAAAAAGAGGAGTCCTCATATGATTCATATCACGATCGTTTTGACACAAAGAAAATCCTTCTAAAGCAGATGTGGAGTCTGCATTAGGACGTCTTCAGGCCTCCCAACTGCCCACCAATGGGTAGATTTGGACCTTTCCTGATCCTCAGCACGGTGTTTCATGCTGAGACAGGTCTAAAGTGTCCTCCCCCTTCTTCACCCCACGTTGTCCACTTGGCAAATGCTAGTTCACTCAACGCTCATGTAGTCTAGGTCTACACATGGTGTCAAACGTAGATTCGAAACTCACTCAGTAGCCGGATTTGCAAGTGGCTACCAAATCTGCAGTGTGGTAGGCGCTTCAGAGCAGTCCTCCACGGGAGCCTACGAAATGAACCAATGAACAAATGAATGGACATTTTTGTACTTCAAATTATAACTAATTTAAGAAAATTGCTTCCATTTCTCTAACGCTGCGCTTAATTTTAAAATTAAGTTAATTAAGGCCTTTGAAGGACGGCAGCACACCAAGCTGACAAGTTTCCATTAATAAGCTTTGAAAGCTGGGCCTGGGTGTTTGGGGAAAAGAAATTGCCTTGGATTAGGAGCCAAGGACCTAAAAGGCCACAGTCTCCGCTGTCATTTCTACTTCTCTAAACACCAGATTACACATTTGTGAAACTTGGGCTTCGAAGGAAAGAGTGAGATAGCTGTTGGGGTTAAGGTGCTTTGCGGGAAGCCCGAGACTCTGAGTTCCGTCCTTAGATCCCGAATGGAGGGACAGGGGAACCAGCTCCTCATCGTCCCCTGACTCTCTGCCACGCACCCACACGCACACAAACAAACAAACAAAAAACTAAATGGAAACTAATGTTTCAAAACGAAGTGACTCCTAGGAGGCTTAAGATCTGCTTGAAAACCAAGACAGGAAGAAAGAAGAGGCGAGAGTGAGGGAGAATGGCTAGGGTTTCTCCCGTTTCTCTGTGGCTAAGGTTTCTCTCGTTTCTCTGTGGCGAAGGTTTCTCCCGTTTCTCTGTGGCGAAGGTTTCTCCCGTTTCTCTGTGGCGGGGTTCTTGGAGTCCAACACCACAGCAGACACTTTGGACAATTGCATTAACACACATTTACATAGTCCCCACTGCTACCCCTTGCTCCCGCTTGAAGACTTGACATCTACAGTATGATAATTCCGTGTGTCCATAAACACGTTCTTGGGTCTCATCTCCCCAAAGCAGCCTCTTCTCAAATCAGTGCCTTCCTATTGTGGAGCAGATGCCCCGGACCCCTTGAAACTCTGCATCTTATGGTCTGCCGTGATCAGTGTGGTATATACCATGAGGCTGTGTGGATGATTAGTAATCTTTTTGTTTCTTGCCATCCTAAAGCCTAAGTGTTTTCTTCAAGGATTTTTGGAAATAATATTTTTTACAAACCATATTGTTCCACGAAGCCTAGCACTTGATGATATTCTATAAGAATAAAAAAATAATTTAAGAGTCTCTCATGGCATAAGTCAAAGAAAAGTGTGAGCACAAACATCCTGGCTGCAGACTCAGCTTGGCAAGCTTGACGATGTGCTGAGATGCCTGGGACTGAGTCGTCTGAATAGACTTCCGTTTGAGACTAAATGCTGTCATTTTCTCGCTCTTTGTCAGGTTGCCTTCAAGATGTACTTGGGAATCACGCCAAGTGTGGCCTGTCACAATTCAAGCAGAAATGAATTCTCCCTGATTCTGGACAAGAATCCTCTGGCAGAGTTTGTGGAGGAGCTCCCTGCGGGACGATCTGCGCTGTGCTACTGCAACCTACTCTGTGGGGTCATCAGAGGAGCCCTGGAGATGGTAAAGCATGTGTTTCACCTTGTCATGCCTGTTAGCCATCCGGTGCTGTCCGCAAAGGGTAACAACCTCGAAGCAAGGCACAGTCTCTAACGATGGGAAGTCCGGGACCCAGCAGACCTGTTATTGCAAGCCTGTCATCTTGGCTCCTTGGGGGGTAAGGTAGGAAGATCAGGATCATAAGTTCCAGGCCAAGTTTGTGCTATATAAAGTGAATTCAGCATCATCCTGGGCAATTCAGTACGGTCCCACATTAAGTTTTAAAAATAAAATGGAAGACTGAGGATTTGTGCCCAAGAGAAAGAAAACAAATCTGGGAGGTGTCTTGGCATGTGCCATTAAAGCCTCACAACCTGATTTCAGTCCTGAGAACCCACATCATGTAAGGATAGAGCTGACTCCTGCAAGTTGTAACTTTCGTCCATACTCTATGGTACATGGGCATGTGGGTGCACACACACAGACTAGATTGCTTTTCAAAAAAAAATTTACTCCAGGAGTACTTTAGGTAGCTGTGTTTGATAATGATCTTCCACAGCTTAATTTACATGCAGCCTCAGCTGTAGCCTCTGCAGACTTGCTGATCCTAGACAAACCACTCACAAGTTCACACAGTCTCAGTGCCTTGCAGGCCACTGTGTGGAAGCTTCATAAAGCTCCTTGCCGCATAGACCTCTTAGTAGATCTAATCACAGCGTGGCAGTCTGAGCTGCCAATCCTGGTGCTATGTGGGAGGGGAATAGCCGAGGGCATGTGTTACAGGAAGTACAGGTCAAGGCAGGTCATTTTTGAGGTTGACTTCCACACCTAAGTTACTCGTTGGTTTAACTGATACAGTTATTAACATCTGTAAGGTGTCAGTGACTGAGCCTACAAAGATGGGCAAGATAGAGTTGCTGCCCACAGAGAATCTCCTGTCTAGTTCAAGAAGTCCTGTGCAAAGAAACGTGATAAAGGGGTAGAGGGGGACCTGGAGTAAGAAAGAATCCACACAGTCTTGACAGAAGCTCTGAACTGGCTTTTTGAAGAAACAATGGGAGTTACATAAAGAAGGCCTTTGTAAAGAGGGCAGGGAAAAAATAATATTTTAGGTAGAAGGATCAGAATGTTCAAAGGCCCTTCAAAATGAAAGAACCAGAAATGCAAATTAGTTCAGAAGGACTGACATGAAGACTATAGCCAATAGAGTAACAATAACATAACCAATAGAATAAACTAAGAGGGTTGCAATGGACAAGGGGGGGAGCTCAGTTTTGAACCTGCTGATGTTAAGATGTTTAACAAATACACAGTGAAGATTTCAAAAAGAAATTGTTTGTTTTTCATTCATTTATTGATAGACAAGGTCTCATTATATAGCAGAGGTTGGCCTCGAACTCATGATCCTCCTGCCTCAGCCTCAGAGTTCTGGGATTATAGGTGTTTGCCACCATGCCTTGCCCAAGTTGTTTATATGTGCCTGCCAGAATATGACTGAAGAACTGTCAGAACTGACAGAAATACCTGAGGAGAGTCTGTATAGCAGGAAGAAAAGGGAGCATGATTAGAACTCCAGGAAACAACACAAAAATATGGTGTTAAACAGAGTACCTAAAGACTACAAAGGAAAACAACTTGAGTACTCGAAAGTAAGAAACTGATAGAGAGCGATGGGGTCACAGAAAACAGGAAGCAGAGTCCTTCAAGAAGACTAACAAGACCAACTCAACACAGTTAACTCCACTTACCAAGGCTTTGGAGATGGTCTTGGTAGAGACTGTGATGAAGAAAAGACGAGGGAGAAGAGAATCTGTCAGACTGGTGAGGCTACAGCAGCTGACGAAGAGGCAACAGTCAACAGCCAACAGTCTTGTTTTTCTAGAATCTTCTCTATTTGGATGGTGAGGCCAGCTCTTAACCATTCTAAACCCGTGTCGTTGACCTCCTCGATAAAGATCCATGCATATAATTTTACTTGTGGAAATTAAGGAAGGGAGAAATTAGCCGATACCCCCAAAGTGTAAAACAATGGAGATGATTGCATGCATCTTCCTTGCGGATCCTTCATGATGTAGTACCGATTGTGTTAGATTTGATCTGTGTCAGTAAGCATTATATCAAGGAAAGGGAAGAGAGAAAATGTAGGAGGTTACACTGAAAGGGGTAACCACATAACTAAAATAAAAACAGGATAAAGAAGTCTCCAGCTTTCATGGGTAATTTTTGACCGTATGTGCTGACCATGAGTGTCATAAGTCATGTGGTCTCACATATCCAAAGAGCTTTAGCATAGTCTGTGTGTTTCTTTAATGGATTTTCTGTTATATTTTCTAAGACATAAAAAACTATAGGGAAGAAAATACAGAGATTAATTATAGGCCCTGTATTTCAAAGCACAGTCTACTCTCTTTCATTGGATGGTGGGTGCAGTAGTTTGAATGTAACTGGTCCTCATAAGTCTATAGGGAGTGGCCCTATTAGGAGGCATGACTTTATTGGAGTAGGTGTGGCCTTATTGGAGGAAGTGTGTCACTGTGGGGGCAGGCTTTGAGGTCTCTTTTGTTCAAGCTTTGTTCAGTGTGACACACAGTCTACTTCCTGTTGCCTGTAAGATGTAGGACCCTCAGCTACTTCTCCAGCACCATGTCTGCCTGCATGCCACCATGTCCCACCATGATGATAATGGACTGAACCTCTGAACTGTAAGCCACCACCCCAATTAAATGTTTTCTTTTATAAGAGTTGCCATGGTCATGGTGTCTCTTCACAGCAACAGAAACCCTAACTAAGGCAGAAGTTGATACTAGGGACTGGAGTACTGCTGTGATAAACCAGACCATGGTCTTTGTTTGGAGGAATTTGGACTTTGATACTTTAGGTTAAGAAAACAGTGGAATGCTTTGCTGCTTAATGGGTCATACTAGTAGGGGCATGGAAGACCGTGGTGCTGAGTGTGATTTGATGAACTGTGAGGGCCTTACTGAAGAGGTTACAGAGGAGAAGAATATTCATATGTGGTCTAGAGATCATTCTTGTGATGTTTCGGTGAAAAATGTGTGGCTGCTTTTTGCCCTTGTCCAAAGAGTCTGCCTGAGGCTTAAGTGAAGAGTTTTGAATTAATTCCATTGGCAGAGGAAGTCACAAAACAGCCTGGTATAGACTCTGTCCTGTGGTTATTAGCGTTAACTCTGACGAAGACCTATAATTAAAAGGAGCAAGCTGAGCAAGGAAAATGCAGAATGGACAGATTGGGAAAAGAGGCACCAGGAAGTGGGACAGAGCTAAATCCTGTGTTCAAGGAGATAAATGGAACAAGAAATGGAATAAGGAGAGTAGTGACCTTAGGGCAAGATCTCACCCAGCTAAGTTTCCAACTTGTGAAAAGGAATTCAAGAAAAGCTTAGAGCCAGATGCTGTGTGCACGCCTTTAATCCCAGCTCTCCAGAAGCAGAGGCTGGCAGATCTCTGAGTTTGAGGTCAAGCCTGGTCTCCAGAGCAAGTTTCAGGACAGCCAAGCTTAGGCGGTGAAAGACAGAAAGCTGGTGAAGATGTAATTGAATGAGGGGACCATCTTTCAGCCCCAGCAAGCAGCAGAACTTGGCAGCTTTGGCCACATGGTTCTGGAGTTAAGGAGAACAGAAAGGAACTATGGAATTTGCCCCTGAGACCAAAGAAAGCCGCTGAGGCCAGGCACGTGTCAGGGGTGTCCCTGAATGAAGGCCAGCCATTGTGTGAGGCTGTGAAGTTGAAGCCTAGATTGCCTTGGAGAACCCAAGATTTTGAAGATGGTAGAGCTGGGGGATACCTGCTGTGGAAAGCTTGCTCACAGGGAGTGGAACCAACTCAAGAGAAAGAAGTGTGTTATAGTCAACAGAGCTGAAAGGAGTTGGAGATCTGAAGAGTGTTTTGCCATCAGACATGCAGATGCAGAGTTTGGAGTTTGCCCGGATGGTTTTTGGTCTTGTTTTGGTCCAGTATTTCCTCACTATGCTCTCTTCCCTATGTTTTGGAATGGTAAGGTATATCCTGTGCCATTATATGTTGGAAGTATGTGATCTATTTTATTATTATTCTTATTTTTATTTTGACATTATAGGGAATTACAGTAAAGAGACTGCATGAATCTCAGAAGAGACTTTGAACTTTGGGCTTTTAAATACTGTTGAGACTGTGATAGACTATGGGGATTTTTGAAGTTGGACTAACTGCATTTTGCTTTATGATATTATTACAAGCTTATGGGAGCTAGGGACTAGAATGTGTTAGTTTGAATGTAATTGGCCCCTATAAGCCTATAGGGAGTGGCACCATTAGGAGACATGGCTTTGTTGGAGTAGGTTTGGCCTTGTTGGAGGAAGTGTGTCACTGTGGGGTGGGCTTTGAGGTCTCCTTTGCTCAAGCTTTGTTCAGCGTGACACACAGTTTACTTCTTGTTCCCTGCAAGATGTAGGACTCTGAGCTACTTCTCCAGCACCATGTCTGCCTGCACGCCACCATGTCCCACCATGATGATAATGGACTGAACCTCTGAACTGCCACCCCAATTAGGTGTTTTCCTTTATAAGAATTGCCATGGTCATGGTATCTCTTCACAGCAATAGAAACTCTAACTAAAACAGTAGGTATCACAAGGCAAAGGCTTTGCGTTCTCTATGAGCCAGACAATCTGACATTTGGAGGCCTGTGGTTTAGAAAATCCAAGCTCATTGCCTAGAAGTTCTTCATCTGGGAGGGGTGAGTCAGGTAAGGTTCAATAAATATTAATTAATTGCCTGCTAGGCCCAGGAGTTTTTCACTTACTGCTCTTCTTCTACCAGCTACCCTCACTTATTTATCTTCTTTATCCCAATGACTAAAAATAACTCTGACCAGAGACTCTATTGAAAACAGGTCAACGATACCATGCTGCTCTCACATGAACACATTTTAATGAATAGAGAAGTAAACCCTGGAGCTTTCTCCATTGTCTGGGAAATGGGAAATGCTTTCAAGCTGAAAAGAAAGCCTGGCCATCTAATATTCATGTCTGTAATTCAATATCTAATTTTATATTTATAATGTATTTAGTCGGTATTTTTCAAAGCTCTCAAAGCCATAGGCAATTGCTAAATGTTGTTAGAATAAGCGATTATATTGTTTCGCTAACGACAGAATGCTTTATGGCAAGTCAGCTTGAGAGGAATCCTATAAGGAACCATTTCTCCTCTGAAGTTCCACTTGGCCAAGCACCCAGAGTGAGATTTTTCTGTGAGTCAAGAATTTGAATTCTTCCTGAGATGAGTAGACAAGTCTGGGCCACTCCTGGACCACTCATCCTTCCTCCAGCCGTCTGCCACACCACACTGATGACATGTGGCCAAGATATCTCTAGAGAACACAGTCCAAGGGTCTTTATTCTCAAAACAGATGTTTCTTATCAAAAAAGAAAGATGGGGAAAAATAGATTGTGAAAAAACATTTTTTTTAATGACCTAAGCCTGTTTTTTTTTTCTTTTCTTTTTTTCTCTCCTAGGTTCATTTGGCTGCTGAAGTTACATTCTTGCAAGACAGACTAAAAGGCGACAGTGTGACAGAAATTGGAATAACATTTCTAAAAAAGCTGGACGAGAAAAAATATAGACGGAAAAAGTGAAGACTGGCAACCACAGTGCCATGGGTGGCTAGCTGAACAGCGAGTATTAACCAAGCACACAGCCACGGAAGTTTTGCATTGCCTGATGGCATGGGCTTTGACAGGCTTATGAATCTTAATGTGCATCACACATTTTCAGGATTTCAGATACAACTAGCTCCTTATAAAACAGCAAGCATGAATTCCACATATTACTCAATCCAGCCTCAGCCAGTCTCTCTAGCCAATTACCTGTGGCAATAGGAAAAAATGGATGAAATGATACAGCATTAGAGAGAGACAGACTCAGCCAGGTGGTGGTGGCACAGGCCTTTAATCCCAGCACTCAGGAAGCAGAGGTAGGTGGATCTCTGTGAGTTCAATGCCAGCCCGGTCTACAGAGCGAGTTCTAGGACAGCCAGGACTTCACACAGAGAAACCATCTTGAAAAACCGAAAAGAAAAGAAAAGAAAAGAAAAGAAAAGAAAAGAAAAGAAAAGAAAAAATTATATTCATGTATTTGCAACATTCATCTTAGTTTTTATAAACGATGAATATGACTTGTCTCATATATTGTCTTGGCTTATGGCTTCAACCACTCTCTGTGTATAACCACCGAGGCCAGCCATTTATCTGGATGCCAACTCTTAAAGCATTTAAAACCTTATTTAATTTTAATTCATTTAGCTCTCAATTTTACTTCCTCTAATTTGGAAATAGCTAGTATTGACCAAATCTCATCAGTGTCTCATGATAGAACCCATGGAGACCAACTCTGACAGCCCTGCACTTGAACCGGCACTCTCTAGCTCTCCTGAGTACTCACTGGGCCCTGGAGGGGGCCCCTACTTGCCTGTGCCTTCTCTCCTGCTCTGCCAACCTAGCCGTCAAACCTACCACCCTGATGACAGCTTTACCTGTTCTCAGTGACGCCACATCTAGAGCTGGTGTGGCACCAAAGGAAGTATCAATTTTTAACTTTTGATTCATCAGCCTAGAGAGAGGAGTATCTCGGCATTGAACATATGCTATCGAAGGTGACCGTATATCTACAGAATGGCTTTCTTGTGTTCACTGAAGACTGTGAGATGCTTGAAAGCCACATATATAGTTCACGATCCCCCTTCTTCTTCTTCTTCTTCTTCTTCTTCTTCTTCTTCTTCTTCTTCTTCTTCTTCTTCTTCTTCTTCTTCTTCTTCTTCTTCCTCCTTCTTCTTCTTCTTCTTCTTCTTCTTCTTCTTCTTCTTCTTCTTCTTCTTCTTCTTCTTCCTCCTCCTCCTCCTCCTCCTCCTCCTCCTCCTCCTTCCCTCCTCCTCCTTCCTCCTCCTCCTCCTCCTCCTCCTCTTCCTCCTCCTTCTCCTCTTCCTCTTTAATGAGATGTCATGTCACTCAGTCTGGTACTACAGTCCTCATCCTCCCTTCTTGACTTCCCAAGTGCTGGGATTTCAACGTCACACTCCAGCTAATTTAAAATTTTCCAGTACCCACATTAAATAAGTATAAAGAAACTAATGGCATTCATTTTAATAATGAATTTCATTTATATTTATTATCCCAGATTATGAGTTTTAGCATGGGCATTGTATACTCCTTTCTGAAATAGTCTTTAAAATCTACTTTATTTAGCACATATCAATTCAATGAGTTTAAACTAACTGAGTTTAAATAACTCAACAGAATTTAAAGTAAAATGTAGTCCTTCCAAAATAATAAATTTAAAATTAGTAGCATTTAACGGCTTTGGTTTTTAAAATCTGAATCTGTTAAACTAAATAGAAACAAATGCTTCAGTAGTCACCCAGTGAGTGTTTAGTGATGACGTGTGTCTTGCAGTTGCTGCCGTTGGCTGCACAAATTCAAAGTGGAACGTTCAGTGGGTCTCCTTCCATTGATCTGGAAAGCCAGCAAAAAATGACACAGCAGTCCATGCCAAGATGTCCTCGATACCTGAGTGGTGACTCAGAGAAGCAGTAAATGAGGGTGGCGCCAGTGTCCCAGTTCCACCGTTGTGGGAAGTTCTATCATTTTGGTGAAGGGCTACGGGAAGTCTTTTAGACAGCAACAGGGTTTTTTTTTTGGTTTTGTTTTTTTGTTTTTGTTTTTGTTTTTGTTTTTCAGAGCTGAGGACTGAACCCAGGGCCTTGTGCTTGCTAGGCAAGTGCTCTACCACTGAGCTAAATCCCCAACCCCCAGCTACAGGGTTTTATTATACTTCCATTTCACAAAACCCTTTAGCTTGGCTCCTGAACTTTGATCCAAACAGATTCTTTTGTTTTTTTTTTTTTTTGGTTTTTCGAGACAGGGTTTCTCTGTGTAGCTTTGCGCCTCTCCTGGAACTCACTTGGTAGCCCAGGCTGGCCTCGAACTCACAGAGATCCGCCTGGCTCTGCCTCCCGAGTGCTGGGATTAAAGGCGTGTGCCACCACCGCCCGGCCAAACAGATTCTTAATTGAATGAAGAAAAAAAAAAAAAAGGAAAGAGGAAAGGCCATGGCTGCTCCTGGGTGTGGTGGAGGACAAAGTTTACTTCAGATATGTGGGAGAGCATGGTCAGAGGCAGGGACATCTGGGAGAGTCCAGAATGGACATGACCCTGAGCCATGTGAGGAGAGAGGGAAGGGGAAGAGGGAAAGGGAGAGAAGAGAACCAGGTGCAGCAGCCAGGAGGCCCAAAAGGCCCAGGTAACCAAAATGTCTGGCTTATATAGGGAAGGGCATCTGGGGGGAGGGCAGCCCTGCCCCTGGGCTGAAGAAGTTCAGGGTAGGGGTCAAGGTATGCCAGCCTGGAGAGGCCTGTAACAGGTAGGGACTGAGGGATGTTGGGAGAACTTGGTGCCAGGTTCTCTTTGATATGTTAGATAGGCACCTCAGTCATTTGTCTTAACACTTATCTTTGCAAAGCCAAAGGCAAAGAAAAGAATCAGAGGGGCATTGTTCCGATGACCCCCAAGTTGCTGTCTGTGTTCTTTCCCTGTTTACGGTGTGCATTTGGGGCATGGGGTAGGGGGATGGGCGGGGCAGGGGGATGGGCGAGGGTGGGATGGGGTGGAGGGGACAGGGGATGGCAGCATCTTCCCCAACACTTTGGGCTCTTATTTCTTGTCCTCTTGAGTTTCCTGCTTTCCTGATTTAGCTTTGGAAGTCCAGACCACGTCAGCAGTTGGGCTGTTGGGAATGAGTGTGGAGTTCCCTGTTGACATGATCATGGAGGGCCAAGTAGAAATATGGAAAAACAAGTGTATTATGTGAAGGAAGATGTTGCAACCCAAGAGACTGGTTCACCAAAGATCTGCTATTTTTTTAAACATACAAAAAAAATCTGTTAAATATTTACTAGCATACTAATGCCGAGTATAGCTGTTATTCCCTGTTAAGGGCGAGAATTCAGCTGGGATTATAGATTCTGGGTAGTCCAGATATTTCACAGTTTCATCACCTAGCTGTGGAAGCTAATTAACATCTTCTCAATAATACTGAAGGATCCAGTGATAGAGTAAGTTTCCCTGCCATGGAGTTTGGTACAGCAAGAGACCTTCTAAAAACGTTTAAGAAGGAGACAAATTTACTTTCCTCACTCGCATATTTCTTATGTGTCTCTGCTCTGTGTGTGGTACGCATGTGTGTGTGTGTGTGTGTGTGTGTGTGTGTGTGTGTGTGTGTGTGTGCGTGTGTGTATGTGTGTGTGTATGCATGTGGAAGCCGGAGGCTGACAACGGGAGTCTTCCCTAATCACTTCCCATCTTTTTCATTGAAGCAGAAACTCTCAACAGAACCCAGAGCTCAAGGATGCTAGTCTGTCTAGCCAGCTTGTTCTGCCTCTGCCTTCTGAGTGCTGGGATCGCAGGCAGGCCTCCATGCCTGTCCAATATTTATGTGGGTTCTAGGGATCTGAATTCCTGTCTTCATGCTTATACAACAAATACTTTACACACTGAGCCATCTCCCCAGCTCCTGTATTTCATTAAAAAAAATCTGTCTAGTCACTGAAGTTCCTATGTCCACAAACCTTCCAGAATTTTAGCTGAACGTGATCAACAGTCAACCAAGAGTATCTATGGAAACCATCAGCTGACAGAAAAGTGATGTTAAACATACAGTATAATCATGTGTGATCTGAGGAGAAACTCAGTTCTCACACAGTCCACAAGTGCCACCTTACTGTTGAAAACACAGCCACGGCCACAGCAGTCAGAAACAAGATTGTATTTCTCAAATGTTTGAATATAAAAGAGTGTTCTGTCGTGGGTACCGCACATCAGGCACTTGGACTGCTCTGCATGCAGAATCCACATCAATAGGGAGGGAGTCCAAACCAAGTAAAAAGTTGCAAGGTCTTCCCCGCAAAAAATAGATGTCATGAGACAGTTTCTTGTTCTCCCACTCAGCCCCATCTTTCCTTATTAAGTTTACCACCATTCGAGAGGCAGTAAGGAAAGAATAGGCCTCAGAAGGCTAAGATTCCAGTCAGGCATGTAGAGGGAAGGGTCCTGGGAACATGAAGTTAAGTTACAGAAGAGTAACCAGAGGTGTTAGTTGTTAGGAACCAGATCTGCCCCCATCCCGCTTTCAGAGACTCAATGCCGGCAGCCAGGTTATCACTAGCCTCCAGCATCCACCCCCAACATCACAGCCTCCTCTCTCTGTCTCTCTCTGCCTGTCTCTGTCTCTCTTTCTCTCTCACTCTCTTCATCTCTCTTGTCCCCACTCAGAGGTGGCCTTTCACTCTCTTCACCTCCCCCACCCCACCCCCAATAAATCTCTTGAGTGAGATCTGTTGGGTGGTATGATCCCTGTAGCCTTCCTTGACCCTGATCTGCCAAGGCACTCTTCTACCACAGAAATCCTAACATCAATCCACAGAAGACTCAAAAGAATTTGACCAGAAAAAAGATGTTGGAATTGGGAACGAGAAGGTCTTTGTCTCAGAGCAACTTCAGGACATTGATGGATGCAGGATGCTGTTTATAGTGGCTGGAGGCATCAGTGGGAGATGAGATGGGATTTTGTTTGTTTGTTTTGTTTTTAAGAAAACTGGCTGTAAAATGGAAAGAGACAGGGTATTCTGCCTAAAGTTCTGCTGTTTGCCCCTTTATTGTCATAACAATGTAGGGATTTGAAAATATACATGAGGGAGAATACAGGCTGAAACAGTCATGAGGAGAAGGACAAGGCGAGGATCCAGATCACGGGAGACAAGCCTAACTCAGAGCTCCAGAAAGAGTTCCCTTCTGGAAAAGGCTTCATGACACTGAGTGGTCATGGAGCAGATGACACCTGAGCTTCAGAGGAAGAGCTTGGTTCAGCTCATGAGTATTGGCCGCAATAATCACCAAGAGACAAGATTCAAGGTGTTTGTGAAGATGGAGGTGAGCTGAGGTTGAATGAAAATGTACTGCTGTGAAAGAAGGC